GTATTTTTCTAGGAATATGTCTGTTTCATCTAGGTTGTACAGTCTGGTGGAGCAGAGTTGTTCATAGTATTTTTTTACAATCCTTTGTATCTCTGTGGGGTCAGTTGTTACTTCACCTCTTTCATTTCTGATTTTGTTTATTTGGGTCCTCTCTCTTTGTTTTTTGGTGCGTCTGGCAAGAGGTTCATCAATCTTGTTTATCCTTTCAAAGAATCAGCTCTTGGTTTTATTTATCTTTTGTATATATATACTAGAGGCCTGGTGCATGAAAATTCATGCACTGCAGTGGGGGTCCCTCAGCCTGGCCTGCCCCCTCTCACAGTCCGGGAGCCCTCAGGGGTGGGAGGTGATGCCCCATCACACCTCTGCTGCTGCCACTGCCAGCAGTACAAGCCTCAGCTGGCCCTGGTTACCTGAGCCTCAGGCAGCCCTGGGTGGCTGGGCAGCTGCCATCCAAGGCTTGCCTGTGCCTTGGGCCGGCCCTGGGTGGCTGGGGGGCTGATGGGACTGGTAGACTCTGGAGGCAGGCGTGCGGAGCGGCCGGGCCCGCCTTCCTGGCGGGGCTGAGGAGCCTGGGCACCACCATCTTGTGGCTGTGGGTGCCACCACCTCCGAGGGCGGGGCAGTCAATTAGCATATTCCCTCCTTATTGGCTGTGGGCACTGCCATATTTGAGGGTGGGACAGTCAATTAGCATATTCCCTCCTTATTGGCTGTGGGCACCGCCATATTTGTGACAGTGTGAGGGTCAATTAGCATATTCCCTTTTTATTAGATAGGATTTTTTGGTCTCTGTCATTTATTTCTGCTCAGAGCTTTATTATTTCCTTCCTTCTACTTACTCTGGGCTTTTCTTGTTGCTTTCTTTCTAGTTCTTTAAGTTGTAGGGTTAGATAACATATTACCAGTTTTTCTTGTTTTTTGAGGTAGGCCTGTAGTGCAATGAACTTCCCTCACAGGACTGCTTTCATTGTGTCCCAGAGATTTTGGGTTGTGCTTTCATTGTCATTTGCTTCCAGGATGCTTTTTATTTCTTCTTTGATCTCTTTGGTAACCCATTCATTGTTTAATAGCATGCTATTTAGCCTCCATATGTTTGATTGTTTATGATTGTTTTTATTGTAGCTGATTTCTAATTTCATGCCATGGTGATCTGAGAAGATGCTTGATATGATTTCAATCTTCTTGAATTTGTAGAGACTTAGCCTATGTCCTAACATGTGGTCTATGTTTGAAAATGTCCCATGTCGCCCTGACTGGTTTGGCTCAGTGGATAGAGCGTCGGCCTGCAGACTCAAGGGTCCCAGGTTCGATTCCGGTCAAGGGCATGTACCTTGGATGCGGGCACATCCCCAGTAGGGGGTGAGCAGGAGGCAGCTGATTGGTGTTTCTCTCTCATCGATGATTCTGTCTATCCCTCTCCCTTCCTCTCTGTAAAAAAATCAATAAAATATATTAAAAAAAGAAAATGTCCCATGTACACTTGAGAAGAATGTATATTCTGTAGCTTTGGGGTGAAATGTTCTGTAGATGTCAATTAGTTCCATCTGATCTAGTGAGTCAGTTAGGATTGCTGTTGTTTGCCAATGATACATCCGATAAGGGATTACTTCCAAAATTTACAGGGAACTCATACAAGTTAACAAAAGGAAGACAAACAACCCAATTAAAAAATGGGCAAAGGACCTAAATAGATACTTCTCCAAAATGACATACAAAAGATCAAGAGACATATGAAAAAAGCTCAAAGTCACTAATCATCCGAGTGATGCAAATCAAAACAACAATGCAATACCACCTCACACCTGTCAGAATGGCTATCATCAACAAATCAACAAAGGACAAATGTTGGAGAGCATGTGGAGAAAAGGGAACCATCATACACTGCTGGTGGGAATGCAGACTGGTACATCCTCTGTGGAAACAGTTTGGAGTTTCCTCAAAAATTTATAATGGAACTACCATTTGATCCAGTGTTTCCACTTCTAGGAATATATCCCAAAAATTCAGAAACACCCATCAGAAAGAATATATGCATCGCTATGTTCATAGCAGTGCAATTTACAATAGCTAAGATTTGGAAACAGCCTAAGTGCCCATCAGCAGATGAATGGATTTGAAAGCTGTGGTACATTTACACAATGGAATACTACACAGCTGTAAAAAAGAAGGAACTTTTATCATTTGCAACAGCATGGATGGAAGTAGAAAGCCAGTCAGAGAAAGATAAATATCACGTGATCTCACTCATATGTGGAATCTAATGAACAACATAAACTAATGAACAAAAATAGACCCAGAGACATGGAGACATAGATCAGACTGTCAAACCTCAGAGGGAATGCAGGGGAGGGTGAAGAAGGGGAGATCAACCAATGAACGTATGTACATAAGCCATGGACACAGATGGTAGGGTGATGAAGGCTTGGGTGGAAGGAGTAATAGGGAGGGAAATGGGGGAAAAAGGGACATATGTAATACTTTCAACAATAAAGATTTATTTAAAAAAATAAATATACATAAAATAAATCTTAAGGAAAAAAAGAGAAATAAACTTATATTGTGCTTATAGTAAAATAAAAGAATAAAATCATTAAAATATCCATATTACCAAAAGCAATCTATAGATTCAACACAATTCCTATGAAAATACCAATGGCATTTTTCATAGAGCTAGAACAAATACTCCAAAAATGTACATGGAAACACAAAGACCCTGATAGCCACAGCAATCTTAAGAAAGAGAAACAAAGTTGGAGGTATCATGCTACCTGATATCAAACTAATCAAAACAACATGGTACTGGCATAAAAACAAATACACAGATCAACGAAACAGACTAGAGAGACCAAAAATAAACCCATGAGCATATGGTCAATTAATATATTGACAAAGAACATACAATGAGGTAAAGACAGTCTATTCAACAAATGGTGTTGGGAGTATTGAATGAAACTAGACTTTCTTACATCACATAGAAGAAAGACTAAATGTAAGACTCCAAATCATAAAACTGCTAGAAGAAAATATAGGCAGTAAAAATCTTTGACATTTCCCTTAGCTATATGTTTTTTTTCTGATATATTTCCTCAGAGAAAGAAAACAAAGGAAAAAATAAACAAATGTGACTACATCAAACTAAAAGGCTTTTAGCATAGAAAAGGAAACCATCAACAAAACAAAAAGACAACCTACTGAATGTAAGAAGCTCTGTGCCACTGATACATCTCATAAGGGATTAACATACAAATCTATGAAGAATGGATAAAACACTCAACCCCAAAAAAACAATCAAATTTAAAAATGGGCAGAGGACCTGAATAGACACTTCTCCAAAGAGGACAAACAGATAGCCAATAGATATAGAAAAAGAAGGTTAATGTCACTAATCATCAGAGATGCAAATTAAAACTACAATGAGATATCACCTCACACCTGTCAGAATTGGTATCATCAATACATTAACAAACAAGTGTTGGTGTGAATGTGGAGTAAAGGGAACTTTCCTGCACTGTTGTTGGGAATTCAGTTTGGAGCAACCATGATGAAAACTGGAATGAGGTTCTCAAAAAGTTAAAAATGGAACTGCCTATGACCTAGCAATTCCATTTCTGGATATATATCTGAAAAAACCCAAAACACTAATTTGAAAAAAATATATGCACCCCTATGTTCACTGTAGCATTATTTACAATAGCCAAGATATGAAAGCTACCTAAGTGTCCATCAATAGATGAATGGATAAAGAAGAGGGGGTACCTATATACAATGGAGTATAACTTGGCCATAAATAAGAATGAAAATATTACTATTTTTGATAGCATGGATGGACCTAAGGGTATTATACTAAGTGAAATAGTTCAGACAAAGAAAGATAAGTAGCATATTGATTTCACTTATATGTGGAATCTAAAGAGCAAAATAAATGAGTAAAATAGAAACAAACCCACAGATACAGAGAACAGACTGATGGTTGCCGGAGGGGAGAGGGGTTGAGGGACTGGGTGACAAAGTTGAAGGGATTAAGAACTATAAATTGGTAGTCACAAAATAGCCACACGGCCCTGGCTGGTGTGGCTCAATTGGTTGAGGATTGTCCCATGCACCAAGAGGTCGCTGGTTGGTTCCCTGTTAGAACACATACCTGGGTTGTGGACTTGATCCCCAGTAGGGGGTGTTCAGGAGGCAGCCGACTAATGAATCTCTCATCAATGTTTTTCTTTCTCTCTCCTTTTACCTCCCTTTCTCTCTCTCAAATCAATAAAAACATATCTTTAAAAAAGTGCATTCTTTTAGAAAAAAATAGGTCACAGGGATGTAAATTAAAGCATAGGGAATAAGTCAATAATATTGTAATAACTATGTATATTGCCAGGTAAGTACTTGAAATATAGAGGGGACCACTTTGTAATGTATGTGATTGTCTAACCACTATGCTGTACACCTGAAACTAATGTTGCATGTAAACTGTATTTGAAAAATAACATTTAAAGTTCTTTAAAAAACGACTCACTGGCCCAGCCGGTGTGGGTCAGTGGTTGAGCGTTAACCTATGAACCAGAAGGTCACAGTTCGATTCCCAGTCACATGCCCGGGTTGTGGGGCTAGATCCCCAGGCTGGGGAATGCAGAAGGCAGCCAATTAATGATTCTCTCTCATCATTGATGTTTCTATCTTTCTCTCCCTCTCCTTTCCTCTCTCTGAAATCAATAAAAACATATTTTAAATAAAAAGACCCCCCCCCCCAAAAAAAATCCAAAACCAAACACGACTCACTGGAGGTCATACCATGAGCCAGACGTAGAGCATTGGCTAGAACCAGTGTTTCCTTCTGTGTCTTCCTACCAAACCACCTTGCCTTTATTAAGCATTAATGCAGTGTTTACTACATCTCTGAGGCACTGGAAATACCATGGTGAACAAGAAACCCTGGTTCTCTGGAAGGTGAGAGCGTTAGGGGCAGAGATAACTTACTAATACATCATTGCAAAGCCATGTAATAAATCTATAGTCACATTTTATTGTTTGGTGGCCCAGAAGGCAACAAGATTTCAGCAGGCAAGAAAGGGGGAGGAAGGGCATTGAAAGCCTTCCCTCAGGAGAGGGGTATAGGTGCTGTGCTGGTCCAGTGGCCACAGAAGGCCCAGCCCTCAAGGATCCTGCAATCCAGCTTAAGTGAGACTCAGATGCTTCCATTCACGAAGCAACAGAAATGCTGCGAAGGCAGGACATAAAGTATGATGTCCATGCGACAGGCTCCGCACGGTACAGAAACAGACAGGAATAAGCTTGTTCCTAATGGTTCGCTAAACTGCCTAGAGTAGAAGAAGAGAGTGGTCAATGTCTTGTAGGAGAAAATGAGCTCAGTTTTTTAAAAAAATTTCCAATTAGAAAAATACTTTAATATTATGAAAAACACAGCTACAAATCTAGCTGCAAACTTTAAATAATAGCTGAGAGTTATGAAAAAAAGCAAAACACTAAGTTTGGCATTGTTAAGACAGAACCCAGTTCAAAGCTAGAGAAAAATTTATTTTTTTCTCTTTTTACAGTCTCCCCTTCCCCATCCCACTCTTTCTAGGTTTGTTGAGTCCTAGTGAAGAAAACCTCATTTGTCAATAAGTTATCTACAACCTGTCACCTGTACGAAAGGGCAACTGCTGTTCCTCACCTTGACCCATGTAACATTCCTGTCATCACTGAGTGTTAAAAGCTTTATGAAGTATCGCCAAAGTATTTTCTCGAATTGGTTCCCTTGCTGAGGCTGACTATGAAGAATAAACATTACATAACTCAGCATTATGTAACCTAGTTACTCTCCCACGCTTATCAAAACATGTTATCTGTGAGATCTGGGGAATCAAGCTTTCTTTTAAAAGTCAATTTAGTAAATAGAGAATGTCAGTGACATAACTCACCCTTATAGTTCTTAATTCCTTCACAGGTATGTTCTGTAACCTAATGACCATTTTCAGAATCAGAAAATGTCAGGCATGCAAGGGATCTTCGAGAGCCATGGCATGACCTTCCCCTTACCTACAGGAGGAGGTCTGCATATGAGGACTGCCTGCCAGCTGCCAAGGAGGCGGTTGGGAGCAGAACCCACCTCTGCTGGCTCCTAGGCCAGACAGCATTCAGTGATTGAGTATTTATTGGGCTCTGATGGTAAATCTACCTCCGCGCAGGCAATTCTGGAATACACTAACTTATTAGTAAAATTCAGGAATAACCTGTTGAAACCCCCAGTCCAATTTCAACAAGGCATTTAGGTTTGTTAAGTACAGCAGATTGATAAAAAAATTCTTGTGCTATTAGAGATATTGGAATTAATGCACCCAATTATGTACTTTTTATAGATGAGGCCTAAAAGGTCAGGGAATTTTTGATGGTGCAATCACTAATTTGTGATAGACTTTGAAGAGGAATCCATGTGACTTGGGGTAAGTCTTTTTTCACTACATTAAGGAGGTGAGATGGGTGGGGAGAAGAAAAGTATTCTATGAAGTGGAAATGTTTGAAGAAAAGGAAAATATTTAAAATACTGATTTAATTGTGTATTAGCATTATTAAATAAAACTAAGATTATTACAATGGCACATCTTAGAGAATATTTAGGGTTCTTTTGCTTATTTATAACTGCCCAATCCATAAAATGACAGCCTTAATTACCAGATAAAGGAAGAATTGAAATTTCTGACATACCATTTGGCTTTGATATTTCCAAAACATAGCAAGTACAAAACTAACATTAAGAATGGTATTTCTTTGTCTTTAGTAGAAAAATTAAACGATAATGTTTTAAGAGAGATTAAATATCATGACTAAGGAAGCTATCATCCTTGTGTTAGAATTTAAATTTAGGTGTATCTTGCTCAAAACCTCTTCCCTTACCAACTATTATTATGTCTTTGAATAAAACAAGTTTTGTTTTTTTTTTAGGATGATACAGGTATAATTAGGAGAAATCTTTCAAAAGTCACAAATAAAACTATCCTTTATATATGTATATATATATATATACACACACACACACACACATACAAATGAAACCCATCAAATTTGAAAAAAATCCAACTACAGATATCAAATGCTCAGAAAATGAGTACATGTTCTCATATACACACTGGACTTGGGGGGAGTGTCAGTATCTCCCTGTGCCTCAGAGGATGTGGTACAGAAAACACAAATTAACATGAACAGGGTGTGCCCCTTCTATTACCCTTCTTAGAAGATGTGACATTGTTCCTTTGTCATCTTGGGAAAAGATCTTCAGCATAAGCATGACTTGAATTAACTTTGATTGCTTGAAAGGATGAGCCAAGCAGTAAGGCATCAAAAGGTTTCCACTGAAGGGCACTTCAGTGATAGCTTGTCAAGAAAAGCACAATTGGAGCTGCAACCTTCAGATCTGTGGGGAAATTCTGAGCAAACACTTCTTAAATAAGGTGGCTGACCTTTAACATTTTCAGACTGTGGTTTTTGTATTTTTCCTTTTGAAGGCAGAGAGAGTGAAAGTGTTTTTCAGAAATGATAAATAAGATCAGCCCTTGGGATAAACTATTCATAAGACTACAGACAGTAAGCTGTTAGCTTTTAATAAGAGTTCTAAATGAGCAATTAGAAAAAGAAGTACAAATCTTGTCTTCTCTCACATCCGAAGTCTCATTTACCTTCTGCCAAAATAAGGCCACTTGCAGTCTGATCTCTATTCTAAGAACTGGCTAAAATATAAGAATAGATGAGGGCTCACCATTCTTCTGAGTGTGTGTCTTCAGGGAAACTAGTAAAACATGCCAAGTCTGACTTTCCTCTTCTAACCCATGGATACTGGTATGGTCTTAGAAGGCTACCGTTAGGAGAAACTGAGACAACATATTCAAAGTGCTTAGCACATAGTGTCAGCACATAGAGAGGGCACAATGAACACTGACAACATCACCACCACCACCTTCATCAATAAAATCATCTCTTTATAGATGTGGTAAATAAGGCAAATAAACAACTTGCCCAATATCACACAATAGATTACTATCAGAGCTGAGATCTGTGTACTTTCTGCTCCAGAGTTGTTACTATCTACTTCCACTTTAGATGCTTCAGAAACAAAAACAGTTCAAGGAATTCAAGAGTGAACAGCTGTAGCAAACTAGACGGGAGGATAATAAAAATTCCCAAATAAACCTCGTGCAAAAACTTTCTATGATTAGCATTACCAGTGCCTTCCTCTTGAGCTCTTCTGAACATGGAAATATGCACAAGACCTATTATGAGATATGAAAAATGCAGAGGTGAGCAAGGCTTTGTCTAGAAAGGAAATGGAATCTTGTTTTGTGTATGTCAACCTTGGAGGAATCAAGTAAATTTAATGGGAAATCTTCAACCAAGAGGCATTTCTTCTACAAGAATGCCACCTATGGGTGGGCATATTATTGCCCCAGACTGGAAGATTTACTGGAATTTCTAGAAAAAGCAGAGAGGGAGACAATTAGTTTAAATTCTTGTAAAAAGAAGTCTTTTTATAGCTGCAGAGGAACTATATATTGAACAGACTGAAAAAGTAGGTTTACAGTAGAGTATGTGAAATACAGAGTTTATTTCTGGGTTATTATTAATTACTAGAGGCCCAATGCATGAAATTCGTGCAAGAGTAGGCCTTCCTTCTCCTGGCTGCTGGCACCAGCTTCCCTCCAGCACCCGGGACCTGGGCGTCCCTCCAGCCACTGGCAGGAACCCAGGACCCGGGCTTCCCTCGCAGCCCCAGCTTCATCCGGAAGGTCATTCAGAAGGATGTCTGGAAGGATGTCTGGTCTAATTAGCATATTATGCTTTTATTATTATAGATTGTTTTATTTTTCCTATGAACAACCGTAAACCTACTTTCACCCCACCCTGTCCATAGCTGGCTACAACTTTCCTCACATGTAGCCTAAACTACAGAGTTAAGATCTTGGTGAAAAATGGTCAAGGAAAGCTGAGCATAGAGTAAATTACTCTAAAGTGTATCAGTAAGTTTCTGCAAGTGAAGAAGAAGGGGACAGATATTGAACTACAGAAATTTAGAACTGGAATTAGCCTTATCTGTCACTTAAGTATTTGGATGGAAAAATATATTGTTGCTGTAGTATGTAATTGTACAGTGAGAGGATAAATTGGGTGCTTCTACTTTTGCCCCACCCTATGTTTTGACCATCATGAATTCCAAAAACTTCTCTTGGTCCCAACCTTTCCAGTAGATGACACATCACCAGCACTAGCACCTATCTCTAAGCAGAACATCTTCTTTCAAAGAAAATTAAATAGCAGTTGAAAAGCAGTAATGTTTTAAGTAATAGAAAAAAGAAAGATTAAAATGCTTTCCTGAAGCCCTAATATCAATACTAGTTTCTTCCTAATTTGACTTCTTTCTGCTGCCTGACTGGCTTCTTTGCTACATTAAACACAATCCACTCAATAAATCAAATATACTGTATATATTGCAATTCTGTGCCCACAATTTCTTTTCCTAAACATTTATTGAGCACCCACTCAATAAATATAATTATGAATTGACCTTATGAGCTTTTTGGAGGAAAAGTTGGGATGGAATTATGAGGTCCATCAGAACCTTGTAGAAGTTCTTTCTCACTTTGACTCTTTGGAGACAAACTCCTTGTCTCCATCCTAGATCTCATCTATTATTCACTCATTTAATATAGAACAGAAATATACACTGAGTGGCCAGATTATTATGACCACCTGACGTTTGTAGGCAAAATAGCTATAATTTCGTGCTGAAGTTGCTAGAGGGCCAGACCATTATAAATAGGGAAGCAGGTTGTTTACCACGACAGTAGAAGTGATTTTTTTTCTGAAGATATGAGTAAACAACACGATTTAACAGCCTTTGAACATGGAATGTATATATATAGTACTTACCCCTATACCTATATAGATAAACCAAAATTAGACCAAAGCATCAATCTACATATTTAAAAAATGATAAGGCAGTCAGAAGCAAGTGAGATTTATGTACTCTGTCTTAGACTTGGGAGCAGACAGGAAAGCTCAGTTTAGTGGAGGCTAGTCCAGAACTTGATATCAGGAGAGAGGAAGAACTCACACAAACTGCCAGGGTCAATCGTCTTTATAGAATGATTTTATATGAAAATAATGGAAGTTTATAGAAAGGTGGAAGAATTTCTTTACTAGTTATAGGATGTAAGATAATGCATATAGCTGGAAAGAAATAGAGATTGCCAGACTGAATTATAATTTTCAGGGAGTTGTTCCAAAAGTGTCAAAGAAAGAACATGTGTATGTTAGACTTCTATTTAGTGGACCAAAATGATAAAGAAGGAGCAAAAGGTGCCTGCCTTACTAATGATGGAGGAAAAACAATCTGCCATTTTACTTCTTCAAATCAGAGTAATCCTTAGGTGTGGTGTGAAAGGCTAATAAGAAATGCAGATGCTCTCCCGAATCCTTCAGGGTTGCCACAATGAAGATTAACTATTTCTGTGCACTAAGGATATAAAGAAAGAATGACTCTGATGAGAGGCGGAGCTAGGTTGATGTGGTCCTTAAATATCTTAGAAACAAAATTGGGGGATGACTTAAGATTATCTTTATCTACTGCCTCAGGCGCTCATGTCCTTGAACTTCTGAATTTCCTCTAAGGAACTGGAAGACCTGAACACAGATCTGGTCATTAGCCAGGGACAAGGCATCTAGCTTTATTGCACCTTGGTTTTGCTACCCTCCAGAAAGAAGGAAATCTATGCACAGAGACTTTTTAAGAACTGCAAAATCTTACCATGCTTACAACTGTATCATCAGCATCACAGCTGATTGAGTGACTGAAAAGTTAGAAAAAAGATCCACTTGAAAGACTGAGTTGAAAGCAGGGAAGTAGGGGACACTGTTGAGAGAGGAGACAGTCTGATGAAGGAATTCAATTTGAGTAAAATGCCTTATGGATGTGCACATCTGGCAGCTTGAAAGGCGGCAGTAAGCTTTCTCATCTGTGGAAAAGTGATGCTGAGGTTGATGTGCATCCTGATGGTCTCTGGGCCCAAGTACTCAAGTGAAAGAGGGACTTGATATAAAGACAGTACAGCTCATGAGGGTAATGTCTCAAGATCCTTATTAGATTCCTGCTTTCCTTTCAAGGTTCAATCTCTCTGAAGAGAGGTTTGGGGCAGCCAGCAAGATACCACAATTTGGTGGCACAGACTCCTTGACTGCACTGTATGATCTCAGGGGCCAAACTCTTCATATATTCATTTAGTCCACAAATAAATAGTAAGAGCCAACTTTATGGGGGGCTATTCTAGATACTCTGGATAACAATAGTATTTACTATGTGCTAGCATCCTTCTAAGGGTTTCACATATGTTAACTTATTTGATCCTCACTATAACCCATGAAGTTGGGCCTGTTGTCATCTGTACTTTACACAAGGCACCGAGAAGTTAGATATCTGGTTCAATGTCACAGTAGGTTGAATAAGGATTTGAACACAGTCAGGCTGGCTCCAGAGCCCATGCTCTTACATACCAGGTAGCCGTGACCATGACAGGTGAGATCCCTGTCTTCACAGGAAAGGAGAAAACAGACAACAGTAATGTTATTTTTGATTCGATAAGTGCTGTAATGAAAACTAAAGCAGGGTAAGGTGATAGAGTGACAGAGGGAAGGAGGCTATTTTAGATTCTGTGATAAGTGAAGTCTGAGCAAAAGTCTGAGGGAAAAGGGGAATCAAAAAGGGGAGAAACTAGTCCAGGTAGTAGGTGCAAAGGTTCTGAGATGGGAACAAGCTGGAGATATACAAGGGATATGAAGAAGGTACATAGTGCAAGGGAGACAAGAGCAATGGAGGGCCTTTGAGGACTTCATAAGGACATCATATTTCATTGTCAGAGTGCAACGAAGCCCCTGGAGCATTGTGACCTGTGTGAAACCTGCTCTGATTTTCCTTATAAAGATCATTCTGGCAGTGTGCGAAGAATAGAACATTTCGGGACAAGGGCAATTGGACCAAGTTAGAAGGTTATTACAGTGGCCAGTGAGAAGGAAATACAGATGCTACTTTATTTTAGGCCTTTTCGCCAAGGTCAAGTTTACCAGCTTAGAGTGAGGTGGCTCCAGGAGTCCACTACAGCTCATAAGCCAACTATGGTAAATGTTATTCTTGAATTCAGGAACAGTCTTGATGTGAAAGGGAAGTGAACAGAAACCTCCCAGTTGTTGACCTATAATTGGCTAACTAGTTCTCTGATTGAATAAGAATGCTTTCACTTGTCAGGGCCTCTCTGAGCAGGGCCTTTAGGGATCACATGATCAATCACCTACTAGCTGATGTACTAGTTACTATGGAAGCTCTGGGCACTGGCAGTCCTGGGTTGGGCACTGGGCCTCTAAGTGGATTCACTGGGGATGTCTGATGACAGCCAATCTAGTCTTTTTTTTTTTAGAGGGTAGTTTTAGCATTTCAAAATGAAGACACAGCTGAAATTGTGGAACAGATTACTTACAGGTAACCTTTTCTAAGCATTTTCTACTCTGAGCAAAGTTACACTAGAAGAGGAAACCAGCCTGTTTTGGTGATGCTTGCCAACTTTTACATGGGAAAGTGCCAAAGAGGTAAATCTTTCTGAGTTTATGCAAAAGAAGGACAAGTTCCAATGTTAAAGGTTCCACAAATTTCAACCACTGATGCCTGGGTAGTGCCACTGTTCTAGTTCTCAAAATGCGACTCATTAATCTGCTACTCTCAAAGTATATGCAAATGTGCAGATCAGTTTCTTTGTAACTATCCTAAGCATACGAGTTATTTTCCACCACAAGTCTTATTTTTTCCACCCATTTACCTTAGTCAAAGATAATTTCCTAGGCTTGTCTGAATGTGGCAAAGTTCTTCTATTGCTAAATAACTACAGTACTCAAGGAGGGTCACCAGAACCTGAAATGGTATTCTGGAACAGACTGTTTCATTATATAGGCAATAGAACAAGACTTCTAATCCTATATAATAAAAGCCTAACAAGCTAAGTGTCTGGTTGTCCATTCAACCAATCAAAGCGTAATATGCTAATGATATGCTAAGGCCGCTCAACCCCTCGCTATGATGTGCACTGACCACCAGGGGGCAGAAAGTCGACTGGTTGACCAGTCACTATGACGTGCACAGACTACCAGGGGGCAGATGCTCCGACCGGTAGGTTAGCTTGCTGCTGGGGTCCGGCTGATCGGGACTGAGTGAGATGGGCCGGACATGTCTTGGAGCCTTCCCCAGCTGGCCAACCTCTTGCATCCTTCTGCAGCCCCCATGCACCAGTGGGGTCCCTCGGCCTGGCCTGCGCCCCCTCGCAATCCAGGACCCCTTGGGGGATGTCGGAGAGCCGGTTTCAACCCGATCCTGCAGGCCAGGCCAAGGGACTCCACTGGTATGCAAATTCGTGTACTGGGCCTCTAGTTTTGATATAAAATGAAAACTACAGTTTTTAATACTGCTTCTCTTTTTTTTGAATTCTGTTTAGAGGCAAGCATGACGAATATATGTTAATATATTATGATATGATATAATGTTAGTCAAGCTGGCATCTCCTCATGACGCTAAAGAAGTTCTTTCCAAAACACAAACAGAAATTAGCAAAATGGCAAGGGGCTTCCCTTCCACACTTTATAAACAAATTTACTGCAAGTAAGAGAATAAAACAAATAGAAGCAGAAATGAAGCTTATGGTGTGATTACTGCTAAATTCAAGAAAAATAGTGAAAAGTATATGTTTTTTTAGAGAGTGAGAAAGCCAACTGATAGTAAGCTACTTTAGTCTTTAGCTTTCCAATGAATTTTGCAGAAGGATGGATATATCGCACTACCCAGAGACCATGTTGTAGCAACTGCTCCACTCTACCTCAAGAGAAAGAGAAAGGCAAGCACAAATCACGGTGATCCCTGGCACTTCTACAAGATGAAAACAAAAGCACCTTCCAGGGTCCTTTATGGGGTCAATCCCAAAGCAGCTATTCACACCATTTCCACCTGTAGATACACCTCCCATGTGGCAACAAAATTCATTTCCTCACCAATGACCATGTCTTCAAGACAATCTTATCTTGAACTATGATTTTAAAATACTAAGAAAAGTAGAATACATTTATACTCTTTGACATATGTCCATATACAAATGTGTAATATATCTTACAAAGAGAACATTTTTTGGAAGTTTCCCATACTTAAAGCATCAACCTTTAGTTAAATGTGAGAATTCAGCTTCCCAAAGGATGCATTCCATGGAAACTCTGGAAAGCTGATATTTTCCTTTATGTTCTCCTTGAATTCAATAATATAATAAGTCATCTTTCTATGTTTATATGAGTAAAAGGAACAGCCTCATGATTCTGTGTAAATCATAAATACCAAAAATAGTGACATGCATTCAAGGGGATGTGTCAAAGCTTTAAACTCTTAATGAAAAATAGTACATCATTGAACTTTCTTACCTGTCGACGAATCATTTCCAGGTCTCTCTTGGCTTTATTCACTAGAGCCTGAATTTCCACAGGATCTTTCATATTCTTATTTTCTCTGAAGGCATCTCTTATCTTCCTGATAGCATAAGTTCTAAATAAATTTGGGGTGGGGGAGAAAAGGTATCAGTATCTCTGAAGCTATGTTTTTAAATAAATTTAAAAGCTCTTCCTTAGGAATGAACTGTCTGATATTCTCCTATGGATAATTCACTTCATTGCTTGCTCTGGGGACAGGCCCATCCATTACAATTCTGGGATGACTAAGCAAACATATTTAGGGATATAAATCTACCCCAAACAAGTCACATATAAATGGCAAACTGCTCCGGAAATGCTCCTTAGATTGCTGATTCTTTATAGAGTTATTCACATGTGGCTACCCTCCATTTACATGGATAATTGAACCTTTAATGTACCGAGACAAAGCAAGAACTACGAAGGGAAATAGTGCACCACATATGAATGCGCCAAGGTAGTGATCTAAGTCAGATTCGGGGAAGCTCTACAATCTTGTCCCATGTTTTGGCTGTTTCTTCCTCTTGTGTAACTTAACATCCACATCAGGATCTGACCTCAGTAGAGAGTGCAGATTAAACACATATGCACATACATCCACACGCCTAACACTCTCCTCCCCCCATATAAATCACATGCAATATGGGATAGCAGTTCAAGAACAAGGCTTTCAAATCAGACAGGCTTAGGTTTAAATTCTTGCTCTAGCTCCCTGTTTGTGTGAAACTGGCCAACCTTCTTAACATAACCCATGTTTTCTATCTGTAAGACAGGTAATCCTGCCTACCTCAAAGTGGTGCTAGGGGAGGAGAGAGTAAGTTTTATAATGAGTGTCTGAATCTGAAAGAGAACCTGGTACAAGAAAAAGACTCAATAAATGAAAACTGTTCCTCTTTCCTCTTGCTATTCCTTACTGCAATTAGTATCTGCCTCTCCTCGCATCACTGTCATACCAGAGTGTGTGCATAGAGGGTAGATGGGCCTGGATAATTAGCCATTGCTGCTGGGTCAAGAGTCCTTAACCTGATATACTCTCACACTCAGAGGGTCATGGACTTTACCCCCAGGCCCACCCATCTGTACCAGATTAAAGACAAGGCTAAGGAGAAGCAGCCCATGTCAAACATATCAGACACAATTTTCTGTAGTTTTTGTAGCATCTCAGATTGCTCTTAACTTTGAACACCAGCTAAAGAATCCATGCGAAGCCCAGCTTCAACCTCTGAACCAGGAGTTCCCCATCAGGGCACATGCCTAGGTTGCAGGCTCGATCCCCAGTATGGGGCATGCAGGAGGCAGCCGAACAATGATTCTCTCTCATCATCGATGTTTTTATCTCTCCCTCTCCCTTTCTCTCTGAAATCAATACAAATGTATTAAAAAAAAAAAGAATCCATGGGAAACTATTAGTAACATTTAGAAACATAAATAAGCCACTGATTTTAGGTAATTTAATTTTTAATAAAATCTTTGAAAGTCAGTAATTTTTATAATGAGTTAGATGATAGTGTTAGTCTTTTGCTTCACTTAAAGGAGAGTTCCATAGCTAGTTGGTTTCTCCTCTTGTTCTCTACTTCTTCCTAATCCTCTTTGTAGGCGAATCTTATTCTGCTGCCTCTTATGCATTGTATTCTCTAGGGCTCTGTAATGTACCTCTTTTCTTTTTAATAAAATCTCCTCCAGTAATTGCATTTGTGCCCAACTATCTATACTATATGCCATTGGATACCAAATCTTTTTCATACCCACGCCTTTCTGACTTCCACATACATATGACCCAATCACTATAACCACTACAGATTCTCCCACTGAACACCATCTTTCTTTCCCCTTGCCTTCCTAGGTAGGAGTGTCTTCATACAACCACTGTCCAAGTCAGACATCTGGGGATTCATCCTAGATTCCTTCCTTTCCTTTATATTCATTCAATCACAAAGTATTACTGATTCAACCTTCTACTTCTGCAAATCCTCAGTCTGCATTTTGGTTCAGGCTCTTATCTCTCATGCCACAGCCTTGGGATTATGGTGCGTGTGTGTGGTGTATAATAAAATGGATAGTAACACCAATAGAGAGAAAAGTACTGTGTGTAGATAACAGAGTGAGGAAGAGAGCAGAAATCTTCCTTCTTATGAGCGTTCCTACTAGAATATAAGCCCCAGACAGTAGGAACTTTTATCTTTCTTGTTTACTACTGGATCTAAAGTGCCTAGTTCAGAGATGGTGCTCAACAAATATTTACTGAATACATGAACTTATCAAATGCCATGGCAATAAAAAAAATACCTTCAAGAAAAATACCAATAATCATAAGAAAAACACAACAAAGCATAAGAAACTGAAAAAAAAAAGAATGAATGAAAAAGATTTGTAGCGCTAAGATTGAAATAACCTCTGAAAGGTAATGATTACAAAATTTGCCATGAGAATTCACTGAAGAAATAGGTATTGAATGCCTATTATGTCAGCATTATACCAAGCACTAGACATACAGTGGAAACCAACAAAGTTATTGGCTACAGGGACCAGTGGGGGTGGGGGTGTGTGAAGTCTATGAATTTAGAGATGAAAGAGGAAATAGAAGTCATTCAAAAATGGAAACAAAGGGGCTAAGGAGACTTTTTTGGGGGGATAATAGCTCTTATCTTTTTTAAAAATATGTTTTTATTGATTTCAGAGAGGATGGGACAGGGAGAAGGAGAGAAAGATAGAAACATCAATGATGAGAGAGAATCATTGATCAGTTGCCTCTTGTATGTCCCCTACTGGGGATTGAGCCCACAACCCAGGCATGTGCCCTGACTGGGAATCAAATCCTGACCTTCTGATTCATGGGTCAACGCTTAACCACTGAGAAACACTGGCTGGGCTCTTTATTTATTAAAAAAAAATCTTCACCCAAGGATATGCTTATTGATTTTAGACAGAGAGGCTGAGGGAAGGAGAGAAGAGATAGAGGGTAGAGGAGAAAGAGAGGGATGTGAAAGAGAAATACTGATCAGTTGCCTCCTGTATACAACCTGACTGGGGATCAAACCTGTAACCTAGGTATGTGCCCTGACCAGAAATTGAATCCACAAATCTTTTGGTGTAAGGGATAATGCTCCAACCACCTGAGCCACCCGGCCAGGGCATCAGTTCTTATCTTGATTAGGATAGTGTTTTTACGGGCCTATATATTTGTGAAAACATTGAAACTGTACACTTTAAACGGAGTCTGTAAATTACTCAATAGTATAGGGGTTATATTATATTTGTTCACTTAAGGAAAGCAAAAGAGGAGAAAAAAAAAAGGAAACAAAATAAAGATGGCAATCCTAGAAAATAATTATATACCTAACTAAAGAAAGTAAAAATTAACACTGTTTTATAGAAACCAGAATAGAGTACAAAAGAGAAAATAAAGTTTAAAACACAAAAAATTGAATGAGTTGATGAGAAATATATTAAAAAGTTAACCTTCAGAACAAGCAAATGTATATAACCTATGAATTATAAATTTGAACAAACTGAACTGAGTAGGTAATTAAAGTTATAAAGAAAGAAAATGTCCCGGAAGTGATTATAAAATGTTGAGATTTAACAACCAGAGGATAATCCCAATATATTTACTTATAAAACCCTGGCTATTACCATAGACCAGGGATGGGGAACATCAGGCCCATGGGCCACATCAGGCCCACAGGTCATATAAGGTCTGCAAAGTCATTTGGTCTGGCCATGCCAAGGCATATGGGGTGAGTTAATTAAATGTCTGACCAAATATAGCAGGCTAATTTTTAAGTTGATAATTTTGTATGGGCTGCAAATGATACCATAAATATCCAAATGGCCCTTGGCAGAAAAAAGTTTCCCGCCCCTTGCCATAGATAGTCAGGGAATGCCAGGAACTCTCCCCCATTGGCCAAGTTGGCACAGGAGGGGGTTCTTACACTAAGGCACACTTTAAATGGAGTATGTAAATTACTCAATAGTATAGAGGTTATATTATATTTGAAAGATGAATGGACAGGGCCCTCGCACACCAAAAGCTAAAAAGATGAATGGATAGAAAAAAATATCCCTTCCCTCCCTAATCCTATAAGAACTGGGGGCTTTGAGCAGAAAAGGGACATAGTCTTTGAGATGGCTGTCCAGTATTCTCTCAGGTTGCTGCTCCTGAATAAACCTCTTTCCTCTTGCACCAGCACTTGTCTTATGAGTTTGGCTTTCATTGTGTCAGGCAGCTGAACCTGCATTTTGGTTACATGAACTCCAGGGTCAGAGAAAAAGAACTTTAAGAAAGAATAATGAATATTATACATTACGCAGATAATATTGAGTGATTATAGGTATATCCTTGGATTTCTATTTTCAAAATTCACAAAGCAAAGGACTGCTTTACACAGTCATTTTGTAGTGCTATTTTGAGGATCCAAAGAGATAACAAAATAATATCTATGACTTACGGCACAGGTAGCATGCACAAGTATTGTGCTAAGTACTGGATATATACCATTTAATCCTCACAAACTATCATACAGAGATATTTAAAATATTTAGGTTAAGATTACATGTTCTATACGTGTAGAGCTAGGTTCTGAAGCCAGCTGACCACAGACGTTGTGATTTTCAACTCTAAGCTTTGCTTCCTCCAGAAGTTGATAAACTCTATCCAATCTTTGATAAGCACTTGGTATAAGTCAAGTTGTTATATATTTTAAAAGGCATTTAAAAATTATTTCTGGCATCATAAAACCTAAAAAGATAATCTTATCTCTCAACACTGCTTCAAGTGTTTTTACAAACAGTTCAAGAGCCAAACATATCTTAAGACGTGGCTGAGAACTTTATGAGGGAGAGTGCTATTGATATAAGCAGTAAGTGAAATAATTGAGTTTAATTGTTTAAAAAGGGAAGGAAATAATTGAGTTTAATTGTTTTAAAAAGGAGGACAGTGACTAGTGAGAAGGGTTGTGTAGTTAGGAGGTAAAGTTACTATCAGAAAACCCACTTTGGAAACCAAAGCTTCTCAGTTTTTGGACAGCTGTAAATAAAACCTATTACATCTTCCCTGTTTAAAATTCCCTAATGGTT